TAATCGGAATTACCCATATACAGTTGTGTTCAAATAATAGCACACCTTTCCCTTGTTGAACTTATACGTTTCAATAACTTTACATTACCAATAACCTTCTAATAGCGTTTCACTGTTCTCTACACTTATTATCTGCATTCGCATAACAACCCTAATCACATACTATTCCAATACATTACACCAACCCAACTGACCATAACCAATATTCTCCTTATATCAGAGCATAGACATACTCCTGTTGTAAATATATCCTCTAATAAGAACATATATGAGAAGTGACATATTCTGAGACTGTCCTAAATATACTCTCTTACAGTTCACCATTTTTGTATCTATTACTCAACATAACCAATTCAGTAATAAATTTCACTATTTCCCTGAATACATGTGTGAAGACATTATTGCTATTTCATTCCGTTTACAAAACGACGTTAAATAAGTATTTCATTAACATGTATTTCCACACTGTATATCAGAATAAAAAAGAAGTACATTGTAATGGCAAATGGAGGTATCAAAATTATGTATCTAAACAACTCCGAAAAAGTTATGTCCATTCCATGTGGTGATTGAAATCAATATCACGGTTTAACACTGTATATTACTGGTTTTGCCTCACAGGAACTGCGTTTAATAACTGTCACCCCACATTATTCTAATCATTCTTGGTATTAATATCCAATGGGCTCGCCATCCATTAATTCAAGTTTGTCTAATTCTGGAACTATTCATAAATAATGCCCCCCCCCCCCCCCCCGCAAATCCCCTTATTTATGACGCTTACTGGTCTGTTTGGGGTCGTACTCCTTCATTTAATGATCACATCTATTTTCGACAAGGAGCTCTTTCGCTGTCGTTGTCAGCTATCTAAGACAGTCCCTTACCTAAACAAAAGTATTATTATTTACGATGTAGTAATCATATACTGAGTCTATGGATCCCTAATCTGCTTTATCAAATTTTTTTTCCCCAACAAATGTTATATTTCGAAATATACCATCCCATCCATTTCTCTAATATTAATTTTCTCTAAATCAAATGCTTATATACTATACTTCAAAAAGACAATGTATCACTTGATAGACAGTGATTAAATAATCCAAATGTTGTCAAAATCTGTGGTTTAATTCTAATAGACCAAATTTAAGCAATCTAACCAGTTTTTAAAAAAATATCCATACAATGTTGCATCATTAAAAAATTAATAGACCAAAACGAATGAGCTCTTTGGAGGTAGTTATAACTCAATTCAGCACTTAAATTCTATACAACTAGTAAGATACTTGGGGGGCTATCATTTGCACATAGTTTGGCTTCCAAACATTAGGCATCTTTATAGTACAATTTAACAAAAAATATAGGTAATCTTTTTAGACTTCTAAATGATCGTGCCATGAAGTTAGAAAATTCTTAATCTTAAATCCTTGACTCATTATTGGCTATTTTCTATCTTTTTGTCTTGGTTGATATCTATTTTTAATTATAACCTTAATATTTCATTGCACATTTTAAAGCATAATGCAAGTACTTTAATTATTTAGCTGAGCAACTACTTATATTTATTATGCACTTTATTTTATATCTCTTAACACCTCCAATTATTAATGTATAATAATATGACAAATACAAGGTAAACACGGTTCTTTGATAATTAACAACAATGTCTGGAACGAATATCTCTAACAATTTAATAACTAGATATTTCGCAGAGAGGATTACATTCATGATTATAATTTCCTATATGTTTGACAATCATATGCTGCCTTATCACATAATATCTACTTAATTAAAATAACTAAATAGTTTGCCACCAAATATTATAAAGTAATGACTGACCTATCGCACTAACCGAAACCATTCCACAGTGCTATTAGCTTCTTGAACATGCCCATACAATTCTACATCCTGCACAGAGTGATAGCAATTTTTTCAGAATGCTGAAGCAGTAGGTTAAGAGTCTATAGTGTAGCATTATGGACTGTGTGGATATCCTAATCAACTATACAACAAGGACCTGCTATGTAAGATACCCAAATTTCCATGTTCAAATCACAAACAAATTGAACATTTTCTATTTATCTCTCTTGAACAACCACGTAATTTAAAACAATACCAATTTTTAATGATGTCATGACTTATATTATACTATGAAACTAAATAATAATGTAGAAAACACATCACAATACTGTGACCAAAATCTACTATAACTGGTATGCATAAGCTAAAAATAAAGGTAATAAGCAGTGTTGAACATAAAAAACAAGGGCATAACATGTGTAAAACCAACGCTATGAATGGATATTGGGCGCACGGTTAATTATGTTGATGAGGTGACGATACATATATATTGGATCAATTCCAATGATTTAAATACAATTGTTGAGTGGACTATATGGATTGTTTATATTTATAGTACTAAATATTTTGCAAATAATCATAGTTTCAATCATTCTAAAATTATGCTATATCTCACCACGATCATAATGTAGGTAGTATATCTGGAAATTCAATGTTGTTAGTGGAAATCTTAGTTAATATGATATCCAAAAATTTTACGTTTATTGATCTAAAAATATTTGGTTGAATGCAGCAAAATTTGGGTTTATGGTGAATTTATTGAATATAAATAATATTATAAATACAAAATGTTAAAACATAAATATTGAACAATCACCCAGTAGCAGAATTATGAGCTGCTACGGGCAGCAGCGGTGCACAAAATCAAAGTACTATATTATCGTGATTTGCATATCCGGGTAGGGGGCGACACGCGCCTTATACGCGCTGCCATTCACGGTCCGCGGCTGTTAATATTTCACTAATTATCACCAGGTTCCAGCTGGTGATGATTACTCGCGCCGCGCCTGGTGATTGCCGGAGGATCTCCAATGGGGGGAGAACTGTTAGTAAAAAAACACGAGAGTTCTCCTCCCTGTCAGCTCCTGCACACTGCTTTGGCATGGTGTGCACAACACAAAATATAGCCATTCAAAGCAGTGTGCTTACAGTGAAGCAATCAAACACAGCAAACACCGTAAGATAGAAGCACACTAGGTTGTGTACTCTTTATTGCCCCAATCTTATACCCTTTTGTGCGCAGTGCCATTAGTACAGTGTCAGTGCTTTTTATTAGCAGCTGATCACTGTATTGGTGTCACTGGGGGTGTCCAGTGACACCAAATCAGTTCCTCCAGTGTCAGAATGCCCACCACAGTCCTGCAGTCCTGCTATAAAGTCATACTGATCACTCACGCACCATTACTAGTAAGTAAAAGATTAAATAAATTTGAAAAAGCCCCAGTAGTAACTCCGCTACATTTGTAAACGCTATAACTTTCCCGTAAACCCAATTAATTTACACGTATTGGGATTTTTTTTTTTTTTTTTTGCAAAAGACATGTAGCAGAATACATTTTTGCCTAAATTTATGATGAAAATTTGACTTTTTTATTTTTTTTACTGGACATGTTTATAGCAAAAGTCAAAAATATTGTTTTTCTTTCTCTCAAACTTGTTGGGTCTTTTTTTTTTTATAGCACAAAAAAATTAATAACGCACAGGGCAATCAATACCACTGAAAGAAAGCTCAATTTGTGGGGGGAAAAAGGACATAAATTTCATTTGGTTGTGCAGCATTACATGATCGCGCCAATTGTCAGTTAAAATAATGTAATGCCTTAACGCGCAATATATAGACTGGTCAGGAAAAGGGGGTAAAGATCATCTGGAGGGCAAATGGTATGGTTAATGAACACACAGGAACTTGGCGTTCATTTACAAGTTGTTGCGTCATTCTGGCAATATAAGACATAACAGAGCGCCAAGTAAGAGACAGTAAACAGCAGGTAAGACATGAGAATTCATTCTTCCTTTTTTTCATCTTGCAAATTGTATTTTTTTTTTTATTAAAACAATATCTTTCTTTCTCTCCCTTTGCAAGGATCTTTACAATTAAGCTGTTGAGTTCTGGGTTATACATCAGATTTTTAGTTCAGGAACATTTTAACTTGATATTGGTATTCTTTGTGTGTTATTGTACGCAGCAATTTGGCATGATAAGGGTTTTCAAAGAGTTTTTTGTGGAATAATTGTTATGTTTATGGGATATCGCTTCAGGATAAATTAATTCTTACATTTGGGTGGGTACCCTCAAGAAAAGGAATTTATTTTGTATGAAGCTTAGGTTATGTTTAATGGGTATCTTGATGTTTAAGAATTATGTTTCAAGGATTAGGTTAACAGGGTATTATGCCAAAAACAAAAATGTTATATTGTGCAAGCTTAATAATTCTTCATGTGGTGATAATACTAGTTTTCTTTTTGTTAGTCTTTCTTTCATTTACGTTTCACCTAGTTATTGGCCAGTAAGTCTGTTATTGTTTCAACAGTGGCAAGTTGTTTTCAGCAAAAATGGCAGAGTTTTGAGACAAATTATTTAATGCTGACAGGGCTGAATATTCAAGCGCAATGGTCAGCATATTCATTCAGTTTATATAAGATCTTGTATCCCAAAAAGAAATGAAAAAAACGTTGGCTGTGAACTGCTGAAAAAGGGTTAGCTGGAGTTTGGCTGTAATTTGTTAGTCAACGTCCATCTAAAACCGCTAATGTGTCTAACTGTACGCATTACACTTTTCCCAGCAGATTAACAATGCGCTAAGCTGTCCAAAACGTTGCTCTGTTGTTCCTCCAAGAAAAGTGCAGACACGCTAGAGATAGAAAGTGTGTGTTATTGGACTAGATGCATCAGGTAAAAGAAGAAAGGAAAACAAGCACTAAAAAAAAGAAAACAAATGCAGCAATACATTTAAGGATTGGTAAGCTGCAGTGTTAGATTAAATTTTTTTTTATAGGTTTAATACGCGCTTTAAATGTTATAGTTAAAGTGTTACTAAATCCAAAACAGTAAAATTAGTCTGTATATAGCAGTAAAAGCATGCTTGATATACTCACTTTGGAAACCAAAGGAAGTTATTCCTCTGCATCAGTTTAAAAAAGGCTGTTTGATCCTGACTTTTCTGATCCTCCCCTTCTTCCAGTGTCCCCCTCTTATCTCCTGATAAGACATATTGTGTGGAGACACTCTGCACATGCTCAGTTTGTTGTGTATTGCTAGAGAGGTTTTTTTTTCTTGGGAGAGTGCATGTAATCAGCACATGGTCAACCAGCGCTGTCTAGACCAGCCTTTCTCAACCAGGGTGCCCAGGCACCCTGGGGTGCCTTCAGGCTTCTTCAGGGGTGCCTTGGCAAAATACTTAAAAACTGCCCAAAAATTGTATACAAAGCCAGCAGGTGGATCAAGCCTGCCTTTTAGTTACACAAAGCCACAGGTTTTTATTGAGCACTTTTTACAACCTGCCAGCTGCCACATGCATCCTAACAACCAATTACATCATTAGCTGATAAGGAGGATGTCGAGCGTCTGCACAGAATCCTTGTTTGCCCCTCCCATCAGTAGTGGGGTCACATTAGCAGAGTGAGGGAGAGAAACTGAAGGAGAAGAGGCACATCGAAATACTAGTCAGTACCAGTGTGCAAAAGTGTTATTTGCTTTGGAAGAATAATTTCCCTCTAATGTTGGGTGTCATACACGTGTGAATGTTGCTGAGTTATGTAAAACTATTAGAATAATTTTTTACATTTTAGAATGGGGTGCCTTGAGATTGTGCAGAATGTTAAATGGTGCCTTGAGATTGTCCATAATTTTACAGGGTGCCTTGACTGAAAAAAGATTGAGAAACACTTGTCTAGACAGAGATCAGGGGTTCTGCGACCTCCTAGAGCAGAAAGAAAACTCCTCCTACAAACTTTAACCAGTGCTCTGCTGAACACTGATAGAAGTCACAAGACTGCTCTAACTGCTGATGGGAAAAGGTATTTAGCAGTTTATATTTACTAAAATATTTGCATTTCCATGTTCTGTGTACTGTGGGAGACCAGATATAGCAGGGTCCTGGGTTTAGTAACCACTTTAAGGGATATCTTCAAGTTAAGGGGTAGGTTTAGGGGTACCATAAGATTAAGCATTACCTTTTGAGAGGTTAGGCTAAAGGTACAATTACATTGCTCATGTTATGTTCCATCAAACCTTTTTTATATTTTATTTTATAGTTGTGAAGGGTTAGAAATGTATGTTTTACTATTGTTTTTTTGTATCAATTGGAGGTATCTACTCTCATTTTCTTAGGCAACGAGCAAGGGAAAGTTTTCTTTTTTGTGCTCTATAAATTATAATTTAGTGTTAGACTTTTATTTTTTGGATCTGCTTACTTACTTTTTGGTTGCTTATATTTCCTACCCCCAAAAGGGATTATGCCCAAAACAACTTCACCTATTTTATCATGGTGAAAAAAAATGTGCCGCCCTTCAACTTCAGATTTTATAAGGATGAAGCTTGCAGGTGAGCAGCCCTGCACAGAGACAGCATACAGTTTATTTTCTTTAGAAAGCTACCACAACCTGAGTAGAAAAGCCTGTCCCGTGCCTGCATCCTGTGGAGAAGGACCCTTGTCCCTCTGGAAGTAGCAGATTTTAGTTCATGCTCTTTACTGATTGGAGAGTTCTAGCTCTGACTTTGCAGGATGCATTTTGGAACACTGTAGATAAACACCGCTTCCAGAGGACTAGGGGCCTTCTCTACAGAATGCAGGCAAGGGACAGGCTTTTCTAATTGGGCTGTGGCAGCTTTCTAAAGAAAATGAACCGGAACACTTTGCACATCCTTTGCTTTGATGCACTTGGAAATCAATTAGTTGATTTAAACTATATGTTTAATTGGGCTTTAAGGAAGATTAAACATTCCTGATCCCAAGCATTTCAATGTAGCACATCTCAGAAATGTCTCAATGGGGGGAGATTTACTAAAACGGGTGCACTCAGAATCTGGCGCAGCTGTGCATGGTGGCCCAATCAGCTTTTCATTTCAGCTTGTTCAATTAATGCAGGCCATACATGGTTCAAATTCCAAATGATTTTTCTTCTAAGAATCGGAAACGTCATTTACTCGGTAATCCGATGGTGCCATTGTTGATTTCAAAAATCGGCCGACCAAGTCATAAAGTTCACCCCATATAACATGCAAAACTTCTGTTCATCCAGGTCACGGCTCATGCGCATATTCATTTCGGAAAAATTATCATACGATTTGACCATCATTGAGTCCAAAATCGGTCATTTTTCACGAATTTTCCAACATGCCCGATCACCTAAAAGGGGAGGAACCATGAAAAATCGTCCTGTGCTATTGACCCACTAACAGAGTGAAAATCGGCCGATTATTCATAGGTCGATTTTCAGACGAAAAATCTGTCGATTTTCAACCCATGTATGGCCGGCCTTAACTTTGATAATAACACCTGGAAGCTGACTGGTTTCTATGCAGATTTGCACCAGATTTTGCATGCTTCAGTTTTTGTAAACCTCAGTGTGTGTATTTATGTAATATGTGTGCATGCATTTAAAACACTTTGTTTGTTATAGTTCATTGATAGTTGCAGCACCAGAAGAAAGATGTTGCCCGCTCATTGTGTTTGTGTTTGGTCTGCTATTTACTGAGGGGCAGTCTACTTGTTGTGGTAAGTAAATGTCAAGGTCCTTTAACCAGAATACAAAAACCAATACTTCTATCCAATTTTAATGTATATAGACATATTGCAGCATTAGGTGGACCAATCAGCTGCGGACAGAAGACATTAAGGGATATGCTGTATGCCCTGAAGTAAGTTGGCACCAAGTACTAGAAGGTGTTACTGAGTAAATCTGACTTTGTTAAAACAATACTGCGATGTACTTTTGTTCAATTAAATAGTTTTCACTAGAGTGTTATATAAGTTAAAGTATAACTAAAGGCAAAACTTTTTTTTAGTTTTGGATAGAGTGGAGATGGATTAGAACATTTTTTTTATTTCTTTTGGATATCCCAAATTCCAAATTCCAAAAGAGGAATAGAGGGGAAATCTTCCAATGGGGACACTAGTTCTGGTGACCCTAGTGACAATCAGTGATTCCCTTGCTTTGGTGAGATTTCCTCTCACTTCCTGTTTGGTATAATTTAGGAAACCAAGAGAAAACTCCTCAATGGGACATAGATGGAAAAAAAAACCTAACAGGGTTATTAACTCTCCCTTTCTCTATACAAAATAAATTTTAAAAAGTTTTGCCTTTAGTCCTACTTTAACGTACCATATAATTTTGATATAGTCTGGAAATATAAAAAGGTAAACTCCCAGTCAAACTTGAAAATGAAGCAATGAGATGAATAGAGGGAGTTCTTTGTGTTTGTTACACCCAGACATTGCTGTAGGACTAACCACCTAGCACTCTTTTGTCAAAAATTAGTGATTTTTCTAAACCATGCCTGCCTCTGACGCTGATTGGTTTTAAAACTGATTAGTGTTGCAGTTGTAGTGTGTTTCACGTTTGCACCAAAGTTGTTTATAGAAGTTTGCCCTTTCCATTTCTAGTCTATGACAATCAGTTGTTATGGGCTAAATGAGGCACTTTATAGGCAGATTTCATTTTTGCACAAAAGCAACCTGTTTTGCGTGTAAAAATACCCTAGGTATGCCACATTCTTTAATTTACTGATCACGCTAATACTGTATGTCATGAACAGTATTACAATAATATTTTGTAGGGATTCCCTGAGACCCAAACATTATTTCAAGGGTTCCTCCAGGGTAAATATTTTGAAAATGGCTGCTTTAGAGAAAATAGATTTCAGTTAAAGTAGCTTTTCTCAACCTTTTTAACATGGAGGAACCCTTTGAATAAGTTTCTGGTTTCTGGGAACCCCTGATAATAACAACGATATCTGGAGCTCACAGTACATTGGTGTGATAGTCAAAAGAGAATAATGTACATTACAGCTAGGGTCAGTAGACGACCCTTAAGTAAATTCCCCCCTTACAGACAGCAAAAAAAAAATCATTGGTGTCAGTGGTTACTCATCTGAGAGGCAGAAGATGCTTATTGATCAAGGAACCCCTAGCAACCTCTGGAGGAACCCCAGGGGTCCACTGAACCCTGGTTGAGAAAGCTAAAACATATACCTTACTGGCTGTTACAGGTTACATTATAGGGTAGTTATACAAAGCTATGGATATTTAAACCCAACTAAATAGGTCTAGCACCTTCCCCAGCCCGTGACAAGACATAGAAGAAGCAACAGCACATTGGTAAGATCATGGCTCTCTCTTCCATTTAAGAAGCTTTAAGGGTTAAACAGACAGCAACGTGCAATGCATTAGAGCCTCTGTGCTTTAGAAAACTGATTCTATCCTTTCCAGTCTGAATGCTGCTGCAAAGGAGTATGCAGGAGGCTGATATCAAAACTGATTTGGGTTCAGTAATTGTATGCAAAAAGACATATAATTAATCCATAACTGAATTAGTGTACAGAATGTAAATAGACAGCAACAGGTGGGCCATACAACCCCCTATTGCAATAAATGGCTGCACTTTCGTAAACTCAATCATGCACATGTGAGCATGTGTCAGTCTGTGCAAGCCAGCTTTTCAGATTTCATGCACGCTGTACGCACTCTTACGGCCGTGTGCATGAAGCCTGAAACTAGGCGGAAACACATACTGTATATACCAAAATAAATGTATTAATGGTATATGTGTGTTTCCACTGAGTGGGAAAATCCTTTGCGTCCTTTGTGGCCCAGTATCTGGAACCCTGTCAACATGGGGATGAATCTTCACCCCCCGGGATTTGCTACAATTTTGTAATTTTGGTCCAGTAAGTGATCCATGATTGGCTATTCATATGGTTTTGGCAAACCAGTGTTTAATGTACTCTGTGATACATATGCTTATGTTCTAGATGTAGCCACCTTGATATTAACCCCCGATAAAGATTTGCATCAAGAATTGAAATGTTTCAGGATTGTCATGCATGTTATCAAGTTCATATGTTTCATAGTGGCTTTATGTCTTTCTTTATGGACCAAGTTTTGATGTACTTATATGTACAGTGTTTTAAATTCATTTTAAATAAACTTTGAGTTTTAGGTTGCTATTAATAATTTTTGGTGCTGTGAAAGTCCATTTCCATTTTGCTCTGTTTTTCCATTTAATGCTTTTTTTTTTCTAGGGCTTCAGGGTGATTTGGAATGTGCATGTAGAGTTGTGTGGTGCATGGATGTTTGCCTTTAAGGGGAAAAGCCCGCTTTAAGGGCTTTTGTTCTTGTCAGCCATGTTCTGGTTCTGCACCACCCAACTGATATATCATAAGCCTACAGCACCAACAAAATAACCAAGCAGTGTTTGCCCATGTTTTAGCCAAGCAAAGAAGGAAGTTAAAGCCTGGTTATAAATTATTATTATTATTATTATTATACAGGATGTATATTGTGCCATCAGTTTGCACAGCGCTTTACAATACAATGGGATACAGTACAGTTACAAGACAATTCAATACTAGAGGGTTAAGAGGGCCCTGCTTGTGAGAGCTTACATTCTAATGGGGTGAGACAAGTGATACAAACTGTAATAACTGTGAGATGGATGTGCTGATGGAAAATTTAAAGTTCAGTATTTAGGTGGAGCCAGGATAGGTTTCCCTGAAAAGATGAGTTTTCAGGAATAGCCAAATGTGGTCAGAGAAGGAGATAGCTGGAAATATTGGGGTAGGGAGTTCCACAGGATGGAAGAGTCTTTGGAGGTGAGCATGAGAGGAGGAGACAAGGGAGCTAGAGAACAGGAGGTATTGATAGGAGAAGAGAGTACAGTGTGAGTAATATAGTGAGACAAATAATGAAATATAGTGAAATTAACCATGATTGTTTCCTTGATTACAGATGGGATTTATACTTTGACTACTGAATGTGGCATTTCCTACCAGACCTTCTGTGACATGACTACTGATGGTGGAGGCTGGACCTTAGTAGCCAGTGTCCATGAGAACAATGTTAATGGAAGGTGCACAGTTGGTGATCGCTGGTCCAGCCAACAAGGCAACAATGAGAACTACCCAGAGGGAGATGGGAACTGGGCAAACTACAATACATTTGGTTTAGCAGATGGAGCAACCAGTGATGACTACAAGGTAACAAATTCTAACTATTACTGAAACTGGTGAATGTTTACTGCTTTTTTGGTTCAATTTCAGGGGGATTTATACCCTGCATTCATCTGTATTCCTCTGTTCAGATTTTATAGAAATTCAGAATTGCAGTCCCTCTTATATATTGTTTTTATATTTCAACATTTAGCCACCATATCTGTTTTGACCACTGCCAAATCACTTTTGACCAGCACTGCCAAATCACTTAGTTTTGACAGCAGACTGGAACATGCACAGGACCAGGGGCGGACTGACAACTCATGGGGCCCCCGGGCAATAGGGCATCATGGGGCCCCTGTGTCCTTGCCCAAACTCAAAAAAGCCTATGAAAAATGTACCAGGGGCATCTCATGGGGCCCCCTACTGACCCCGGGCCCTCGGGCAGTGCCCGAGTTTCCAAATGGTCAGTCCGCCTGTGCACAGGACCTTCAAGTTATCCATAATAAATGTAGAATATCATTATGACCAAATCAAGAAAGTGATGCACAGATCAACCAAACATACAGTATATGTAGCAGAAACGAATGGAAAAAATATGCCCTTTTATTTTCTTTATGCTTGCAGAATCCTGGCTATTATGACCTTAATGCTGATAATGTGTGTTTATGGCATGTGCCAAACAAGACTCCACTGTCCCTGTGGAAAGACACCGCTCTTCTTAGATATTACACAAAAAGTAACATCCTTTCGGAACACGGAGGAAATCTCTTTAATCTATACAAGGTAAATAAACAGCAGAGAACTACACATTTGATTATATATAAAGGATTTGGGATTTAATTACTGTAGTACTTTGGTCCTGCTCAGGTTCTATGTGGGTAGTTGCCCAACTGCACACTGACCGCAGGGTGTCACTCATTCAGCACCATTGCCACTTATAGAGTGTTTTTTATTTTTTCAATGAATATATGTTCTGTAATTCTCAGATTGGACAAGATGGAAATTGTGATGTCACCGCCCCTCCTCTCTACCTCATCTAATCAGAGAACACCTTGTATTCATTAAATAGAGGTCAGTGGAGAAGACTATGGGCTAATATTACAGGGTAGGATATAGACAAAATTAAACCTAATGGGGTAATGTTGGGTATAACTTTGTATTCATTGAAAAAAAAAAAGGTGTTCTATGAACGGCGGCAGTGCTGAGTAAGTGACACCCTGCAAGAATGCAGCTACCACTGTAGTAGCAGCGATTACTATACTGATTTCCAGCTTCCCCAAACAGGCATGAGATATGCATACTTACATTGTGCAAAGTTCCAATGAGTGTATGCAATAAAAATAATTCCTGGAGTTCGGCTTTAAAGAAACCTTCATGACCAGTTGTGGGACAACCCGAGAGATCTCCATACATTAAAGCAAAACTCAACTGCATTTTAGCATCACAAACTGAAAATGCTATTTAATTCATTTTTAATACTCAAAGCAAACTCACACATCCTTCCATGTTTCATTTTGTTCAAAAATCACTTTGAAAAACACCCCCCTAGCATTTCCAGCAGTGGTCATCTTGAGTGAGGGCAGATGAGTCATGTAGCGTTCACTTCCTGGAATTCATCACCCTTAGCCAAGGCAGGCAGGAGGGTAAGCTTAGCTGAGAAAGCCCCTCTTCCAGATAAAAAAAATGTCCATGAAGACTTTTGGGATGTGTGACCTCATTTTGGCTTTGGGAACCAGGAAGAAACTGAAGAAATGTAGAGAAAAAAAAAATAAAATTAATAAGTAAATATTCCTTCCTATCGATTTAGTAATGCTACTAGCATAAAGATTAAAAATAGTCAATATTAACTGTGAGAGTTTAGTTCTGCTGTAAAGCCTAACTCCAGTTAAACCTTTTTTTTCAGTTTTGGATAGGGTAGAAAATGGTTAGAACTTCTGTGAGGATTTGACTGCTGTCTTTGTCTTCATTCCTAATTTATTGTTTTGTCCATCATCCTTCATGTGGACAGGAAATGACGATAATTCTCCCTCATGGAGATTAAGGTAGAAAATAGATACTGACACAGTCTCTCAGGCAGATGAAGGAAGTTGGTGAGTGAGTCAACCTGCAAGTATGACATTTCAGTTTTGATTGAATCAACCTTTAAATGTTCACAGAAAAGTGGTTAGAATAGCATTTTTTCCTGTTGCAATCATTTTTCTTGTTTAGAAAAGGGTAAAAAAACAACAGTGAAGCCCACACAGGGGCTAGAATATCTGATAGGAGTTTTTCCTGGTGATCTTATATATTCACTTAGTGTAAAACGATTTGTGTTTCTTCTAGAAATATCCTATAAAGTTTGGTGCTGGGACATGCCCAACCCGATAATGGACCTTCTACACCAGTTGTTTATGATAAGGGGAGTGCACAAGATACGATTAGAATGAACGCACCCAATGCAAAAAGTAAGTTTTTTCCTGCATGGTTTTACACTGCATATTAAAGCTATCTATATCTGGTTAATAATATGTAAAGTTATATTCTTGTTTATAAGATTCCTAATAGGTCAGTAGGTGTTTGTGATTGGTTAGTAATCAATAGTTGTTCAGTCTTATTTATCAAAAACACTAATGCAATTCAAATTTTCAAATTCCATTTAGAACAGAAAACAATCTGATTTGTCACTATTTAGTGACACTTATAGCTTTTCATTCATGCTCACTTTGGATAGGAGAGACCTAGCTTTGATTCAGGAGGGGGTGGGTCCAACATCTGAAGAGAGACCGATGCTTTCATGAGAATAGCAGTAGTCCTTCCCTATACTATACTGGCAAGGGACAGGCTACAGACAAAAAATGTTTGCCTCGTCCAATTATAGATGGGAATCTATCTCCACATCCCTGGCCCAGCGCCTGGCTGTACTTGCTTGGGGAAAAATTGATTGACCAGAATGGGTCAATCGCTTATGTAGAACTTCCCCCTCTGTAACAACAAACATGATTATAGAAAATCTTCAGAAAAATCTTTAATTACAAATATTATTCAGCTACCCAGCACAGATGGCCACTGTCTAATGTTTTGTTATGAACCTTTTTTTTTTTTTCAGGGAACTCTGCCACCACCACTAAGACTTCCAATGCTCTGGCCATTTAAAGCAGTTCACTTTTTTAAAAATTCAAAGTCAGCAGCTACAAATACTGCAGTTTCTGACTTTTATTAATACGACACCTACCAGTCCAGGGATCCAGCACTGTACTCATCCTAGCCACTTCTTTGCCGGTCTTCAGGTTCCCAGGGCAGCCATGTTGAGTGTGCCTTCACAGCCTGCTCTTCAGTGCACATGTGCGAGCCACATTGTGTGATTGGTCCAGCATCAACCTTGGACCTGTGATGTGCCTCGGAAGGTTGCAGGCAAGGAGGGAAGGGGGCAAACTTCCGGTGGAAGGGGGCAAATTTCCTGAAGTGGGGAGCGGGTACCTGTCAAATTAGGTACCCGCTTCCCAAAAGAAAAATTATGCTCCAAAAGTAGAAGAGGAGGGGGAAAAGGAGGAAGAGTGGAACTTCCATTTTTCAGTGAAGTTCTGCTTTAACTGTGTCCCTGGCGCTGAACTGACATATGCATTCATTTGTCACTCAAAAAAACCTGAAACCTGCACAAATTCCTCTCCTCAAGGTGGCTGCATTGGAGCAAAGGAAATTTTAACACCTTGCCTAAAGCAGAGAGGCCTTGCTGAGACCCCACACTTCAAAAATACAACATCAAATTCAAATGACTGCCATGAGCAACAGCTCTAGAACCAGTATTTTATGTATTGGATCCAATATGCATGGACTTGTCAATGAGGTATTATACTGTATCTCATATATATATATTAATGATTTATATGAATAGTGAATCTAAAACCTTTTTCTGCAGATGAAATCGCTGGTGATTTTATGCAGTTCCGAGTATTTAACAATGAAAAGGCAGCAATGGCTTTATGTCCTGGAATGAAGGTCATCAGTGGCTGCAATTCAGAACATGTAAGTTGTAAGCAGTGACTGAGAAATACAGAATTAGTTACCTTGCGCATGCATACAGTATCAGAATTTTGTGAGAGATGATGTTTATCTATTTTGTAGCTATGGTACTATTCACTACCCCAGGTGGATGATCTCATTTTCTTAACCTTGGCATTTAAAAATAATCAAAATTCATTGAAAATGTTATTTTAAGGGGGGGGGGGGCTTGCTTTGTTATCTATGTTTTGTGTTATATTGTACATCTATTATTTTGTACATCTCAAAATTCTCCCACACATATATGTCATTTGTCTACAGAATGTATTCAAATCAAATACCTTTATTAGCACTCAAAGAGAAATATTAACAGCACATTATATACAATATGTATAATATAATAAATATAAAAATATGTCATTAGCTAAAGGTACAAATACACAAACAGTGCATTTACATATATGTGTGTTCATTAATCAACTACAAATGAAGGTACACAAGATTGCAAAAAAAAAATCAACTTTTTTCTTTCAAAAGCCTTTTACTTCAAATGGGCAACACTGTATAGAGATTGTATTGTTGAGATACTATGGGTCACATGTATAAGCAGCAGTTTAAATAAATACACTGCTCAAAAAAATTAAAGGAACACTTTTTAATCAGAGTATAGCATCAAGTCAATTAAACTCTTGAGATATTGATCTGGTCAGTTAAGTAGCAGAGGGGGTTGTTAACCAGTTTCAGCTGCTTTGGTGTTAATGAAATTAACAACAGGTGCACTAGATGAGCAACAATGAAATGACCCCCAAAACAGGAATGGTTTTACAGGTGGAGGCCACTGACAATTTTTTCCCTACTCATCTTTTCTGACTGTTTTTCACTAGTTTTGAATTTGGCTAGGGTCAGTGTCACTACTGGTAGCATGAGGCAATACCTGGACCCAATAGACAATGTATAAAAAAGGTGCAGCGCTAATATACAAATAGGCAACAATACGTATTAAATATGTAAACTCATATAAAAGTTCAAAGTGACATAGTGCATATACATATAAGCCACTACGTTGTGTCTGATAGGACGTGAGGAAAGGATTGTTACATCCAAAGGAAAGTTCAGTGAGAGGATGGATGTGGATTGATTCTCAAACAATCTACTGCTTTCCAAGCACCACCGACTGTGTTCACGGTGATAAAATGGGGGTACAAATTACGCACCATCACCAGATGCGCAATCTTTGTGCGCTTTTCTGTATAATAACATAAACGACATCCATTCCCTCAAACAGGGTCTGGTCAAGTCTGGTCAGGTCCCCTTCTTTATCCAGCACCTTACGAACGGCCTTCTCCTTAACTGACCACCACTCTCCAAGACAACCTGGCTCCCGCAGGAGCTCAGAAGAAAGCAAAGGAGGCCAATAGTGCAGTACGTCTTATGGGTGCATTTATTCCCACATAATAAATACAAGGTATGGAATAGATAAACAACATGGAGATACTGACCCTATATGAAGTTGCCGCCGGGACCCCTCGTGGTGCCGGCACTGTAAGCGTCAACAGCTGAAGCTGGGTCAGGCAAGATTGCGCATCTGGTGAGTGCGTAATTTGTACCCCCATTTTATCACCGTGCACACAGTCGGTGGTGCTTGGAAAGCAGTAGATTGTTTGAGAATCAATCCACATCCTCTCACTGAACTTTCCTTTGGATGTAACAATCCTTTCCTCACGTCCTATCAGACACAACGTAGTGGCTTATATGTATATGCACTATGTCACTTTGAACTTTTATATGAGTTTACATATTTAATACGTATTGTTGCCTATTTGTATATTAGCGCTGCACCTTTTTTATACATTGTCTATTGGGAGGTCTTATATGGTGCCTTTGGTGTACAGCTGCTGTTGTTTTGTAGGCGCTCGCTTATTTATATATTTTAAATACCTGGACCCAACAGAGGTTGCAGAGGCAGTCCAACTCCTCCAGAATGGCACATCAATGCGTGCCAACATGCCATTGCCAGAAGGTTTGCTGTGTCTCCCAGCACATTTCAAGAGCATGGAGGAGACTGCAGGAGACAGGCAGTTACTCTAGGAGAGCTGGGCAATGCCGTAGAAGATCCTTAACCCATCTGCAGGACCTGTATCTGCTCATTTGTACAAGGAGGAACAGATTGAGCACAGCTAGAGCCCTACAAAATAACCTCCAGCAGGCCACTGGTATGAATGTCTCTGACCAAACAATCAGAAACAGACTTCATAAGGGTGGTCTGAAGGCCTGATGTCCTCTAGTGAGCCCTGTGCTCACTGTCTGGCACCATAGAGCTCGATTGGCATTTGCCATTGAACACCAGAATTGGCAGGTCCACCACTGGTGCCCTGTGCTTTTCACAGATGAGAGCAGGTTCACCCTGAGCACGTGTGACAGACGTGAAAGGGTCTGGAGAAGCCACCGAGAAGGTTATGCTGCCTGTAACATCATTCAGCATGATGGTGGTGGGTCAGTGATGGTCTGGGGAGGCATATCTATGGAGGGACACACAGACCTCTACAGGCTAGACAATGGCACCCTGACTGCCATTAGGTATTGGGATGAAATCCTTGGACCCATTGTCAGACCCTTTGCTGGTGTAGTGGGTCCTGGGTTCCTCCTGCTACATGACAATGCCAGTCCTCATGACAAGAGTATGAATGCAGTTCCTGGAGGATGAAGGAATTGATACCATTGAATGGCCCCCATGCTCACCTGACCTATATCCAATAGAACACCTCTGGGATATCATATTTCGACTGTCATGTTTTTGACCGTCCAGGAGCTCAGTGATGCCCTGGTCCAGATCTGGGAGGAAATACCCCAGGACACCATCCTTGGTCTCATTAGGAGCATGCCCTAACATTGTCAGGCATGCATACAAGCACATGGGGGCCATACATTGTTTCACTTTGATTTTCAGGGTACCTTTGAATTCAGTCCTCTGTAGGTTGATAATTTTTATTTCCAGTAACCAATGGGGCATTCTTATGTTCCTAACACATTGCCCAGACCATATCAGTATAGATATACAGCATATTTTTTTCCCTATTGAGATGTGATGTGTTTTTAAAGTGTTCCTTTAATTTTTTTGAGCAGTGTGTTTGTAGCACCTTCCTGACCCCTGAAATCATGGTGTTACCTCCAGAGACAGGGGTTGGCCAACATTTCACCTCAGGGTGTAGATTACTTAGGCAATAATGGATGTGAGCAGATGGGTGCCAGTCACTCACACAGTTTTTACAGATAAGGAACCTTGAAGTTGACTCAGCATTCTGGGATTGTAGTTCCTGACTGTAAACTACTTGTTAAACCAGCTGCCAGCACCCGGTGTGTAGAAGACACCATACTCCAGTGAGGTCCAAGCTCCACATCCAAGCTTTTTCCAGTCCCTCAAGACATCTGGAAGTTCTCCATAGCTTCTCATTCTCCAGGCTCTACAGGCTAGGCCCCAAATCCAGGTTTCTGTCCAGCCACATGGTCACACTCTCAGACAGCATGCCTAAGAGGTTTGAGTAGCAAAATACATCCCTCCCCCAGGCAGGAGGCCCGAGGCAGAACAGTTTGACTTACCAAGGTCACAACCTGTGTATTTATGCCCTCTCTCAGCATGCACCAGTGGCAAGGAAACTCCCATTGATTGACCAGGGAGAGATAGAGCAGCTCTCATGCTATTGTCAAAGGCAGCAGTGCCACTACTGGCAACAGAAGGAGAAACCCAAAGTAGCTGAACTGTCAATTCAGCTAATCTGACTACAGCTTTGCACCACAAAATTTAAATAGACACTCCTGCTTAGGGCAGGGTAGCTACACCTATATTTATATAGTATACTTTACTACACTTCATCTTAGCCAAAAGGCCGAAAAGCGATATATAGTACAATTTAATTAACAAAAGTTGAGATACCATATAAAGTTGACCCATCAGTACCCCGTATGAAGAAACTCCTAACATGTTACTATATACAGGAACAGTATATACTGTTCTGCTCCCTCACTGGATCTCTGTAACACTAACATTATGGCTGTCCACAAGGTGGGAGGCAGCAGTACAGAGCTTATCTAGTCTGGATAATGGGGTTAATTTCTTACAGAAGTAGAGACTGTTGACTAAGTAAAATTAGTGTTCACTGATCTGAGTAAAAAGGGGAAACTGAGTTCATTTTGAATACCAAATCATGTGCAAGGGAATGAAAAACAACATTTTTACTTGCACGTGATTGGATGGCTGAAGTGAACAATGCTTCATCATATCTAGTAAGTTTCTTGAACATTTCATTTGGAATTTAGAAATTTACTTTGTTAAGTCATGGCTACTCCTTTTGTAAATTAATTTCACTATGTGCATACAACCAAGAACAAAAAGGGGGTGATTTACTAAAACTGTAGAGTCCAAAATCTGGTGTAGCTCTGCATAGAAACCAATCAGCTTCCAGGTTTTTTTTTTGTCAAACCTAATTGAACAAGCTGAAGTTAGAAGCTGATTGGCTACCATGAACAGCTGCACCAGATTTTGCACTCTCCAGTTTTAGTAAATCAACCCCAAAGACTATTGCTAAGGCAGTGAGATTTACATAAATATAATTTCAAGTCCAGCATTTTATTACACCATTTCATTTTTCATTTTAGGACAAACATAACTTGCAAATAAAGTTTTAGTACAATCCTATTAGTCAATCAATCAATCAGCCACACATGCTTATAAATGCAACAATCATTCTGTTGAAGATGTAACATTTATGACAAAAATGTAACAAAATTTTGAGTAGCAGCTGGACTCCTCAATCAGAGCAAGATATGACCGTTAAGGTTTGGCTTAAGCTATCTTTAACAAAGGAATCAGTTTCTGGTTGACCAGTAAGTACCCTTCACAACTGTGGCACAGAAGTCCATTAGGATAAGGATTGGAGTTCTACTATAATTATAGAATATATATAGCCATGTTATCTTTGGAAATGTTTTTGTGTTGCTACACTGTACAATGTTACATTTGCAGTGATATTCAATGTCAGGTCCAGATAGCCATGGACTACTTTGTAGATATTTCACTGCCTCGCCTCTCTTTTTGAGGCTTATGTCACCGAAACCTGAGCTCTCACCAGATTCCATCTCCATGTTGTCTTTAAACGTGCTTGACACAATCTAGATCATCAGCAGCCAATGGGCCTCATAAATACTGTTGCTATTTTCTTTTTGTTATTTCTGAGCAAGCACAAGTTTCTGGCCTTTAGCTACTGTATTTTTTGCTCCATAAGACGCACCTGACCATAAGACGCACCTAGGTTTTAGAGGAGGAAAATAAGAAAAAAAATATTCTGAACCAATGGACTGCAGACACAGTACAGGAAATGACCAGAGACTGCAGATATACTATGGAGATGACCATAGACTGTGGACACACTACAGGAGATGACCAGAGACTGTGGACATAGTACAGGAAATGACCAAAATGACCGGAGACTGCGAACATAGTATAAGAGATGACTGGAGACTGCATACATAGTACAGGAGATGACCAGAGACTGTAGACATAGTACAGGAGATGACCGGAGACTGCAGAAATATTACAGGAGATGACCAGAAACTGCAGACACAGTACAAGAGATAACCAGACAAGACTGCTGCTGACACAGTACAGGAGATGACCAGAGACTGCAGACACAGTACAGGAGATGACCAGAGACTGCAGACACAGTACAGGAGATGACCAGAGACTGCGGACACAGTACAGGGGACGACCAGAGACTGCAGACACAGTACAGGAGATGACCAGAGACTGCAGACACAGTACAGGAGATGACCAGAGACTGCGGACACAGTACAGGAGATGACCGGAGACTGCGGACACAGTACAGGGGACGACCAGAGACTGCAGACCTACTACAGGAGATGACCAGAGACTGCGGACATAGTGCAGGAGATGACCAGAGACTGCGGACATAGTACAGGAGATGACCAGAGACTGCGGACACTGTACAGGAGATGACTAGAGACTGCGGACACCTTACAGGATCTGTACTACAGATGACCAGATGCGGACATACACCAGGGACTGCGGACATACTACAGATGACCAGAGACTGCGGACACAGTACATGGGATGACCAGAAACTGCGGAACTTTGGGGAGGGAGGAGCGGGTACCCGAATTTGACAGTTACCCGCTCCCACTTCCTCCCTCCCCATCTTCTGGGACACGTGACAGGTCCCAGAAGACTACTGGACCATTCACAAAGTGCAGCACTTCTCACACATGCGCAGTGGGCACCCGGCTGTGAAGCCGCAAGCTGTCACAGCTGGGTGCGCACACTAAAGATGCCCGTGCCAGGATAAAAATACTGTGAGTACACCGTTGGACCGAGGAACAGGTAAGGTTCTGCTGCAGAGAAGAGCCGAGTGTCTGGCCTGGTATTCTTACATGGCGGTGGCGGGAATACCGGGCCGGCCGCTCCATTAGATGCACAGACATTTCCGCCATTTTTTTGGGGGGGGAAAAGTGCGTCTTATGGAGCGAAAAATACAGTAGTTCCTACATCATTTCTAATAGGGTTGCACCGATACATTTTTTTCCTCGGCGAGTACGAGTACTGATACTTGTACTCAGAGTACCGCAGGGAAACTGTATGTGATTTGGACAGGAATCGCACCACATTCCTGTTCAAATCACATGCATATTTTTTGCAGTGCAATTTGAGCCCATTCATTTTGTATAGGTATTGGGACATTTGCATGAGTACAAGTACTCGTTCACATGCTCAGCATTGGCACTGATATGGATACTGGTATTGATATTGGTGCTCTCCACTCCTTCATATGAGTGCACCCTTATCAAACCAGTGCACATATGTGAAAGAGAGAACAAACCACCACAGTGCACAGATAGTCTCAGCTTGCAATCTCCAATATTAGAACTGGCAGCAAGTGTTATATTAACAGGAAATGACTAAGTGTATAGAGCAGTGGCGGACTGACCATTTGGAAACTCAGGCACTGCCCGAGGGCCCGGGGTCCGTAGGGGGCCCCATGAGATGCCCCTGGTACCTTTTTCATAGGCTTTTTTGAGTTTTGGCAAGGACACAGGGGCCCCATTATCCCCTATTGCCCGGGGGCCCCATGAGTTGTCAGTCCGCCCCTGGTATAGAGATCCAGGGATCCTGCAGTTTCCTTTACAGATCTGGGCTGATACAGGCTGAACTCCAAGATAAAAGGGCAAGACCACAGGATCTCATTAAAACCAAGTAGTTCATTTTTATTTGTACAATAAAAATGCAGGCTTACATTCAAGCAGCTCTGCATCAGCTAGGGATGTAGAGAAGGAGATGTCATCACAAGTAAAGCTGTATGGAGCAGCACCAGCGAGCAATCCCAAAGCTGACTAAGAGGGACACACTTATTATGACAGTTAGTGTCCCCCCCCCCCGTTCCACCTCTTGGCTGTGCTTTATGTAGGACAAGAGGGTCAGTAGAGTGTTTCAAAGGTGTTTCTTCTTTGTCAAACCACTTAGCAAACTATATGTATGGAGATACCCATGCGGGCGAGCTTCTGACCTGGGCTGTGTGCATCCATAGACACACCCCTGCTCCCTCCTCACAGGAGTTTGACTGACAGCAGCAAGAGGCAATGGTTCTTACTGTCCTCAATGTCTCCTGTGAGACCAGAAAGAGAGGAGAGTGGTGCTGCAGCAGGAACAGCGCTGGGTCAGTGAGAGGGAGCAGGTAACTGTTTAGGGATGGACGGAAAAATAAGTAATGGAGAGTCTGTTACCTTAAAGCAGAGAATGTATTAAAGTAAAAACCACTTAGACTTTAGAACCACTTTAAGATATTTGTGTAGTACATCAGAGAATGCTCCCCCTCTGCCCATGTATACAATCATACATATAGCCCCACCGGAACTAATTAAGCAGAAGGTGTTCACAGCAGTTCCTGCATGTAGCTCAGTATTGAGGTTCCACAAAGCACACAATTTAATATATAGAATGTAGAAGGAAGTATAACCACTTGCCTACCGGGCACTTATACCCCCTTCCTTACCAGGCCAATTTTCAGCTTTCAGCGCTGCCGCACTTTGATTGACAATTGCGCGGTCATGCAACATTGTACCCATATGAAATTTTGATCATTTTTTTCTCACAAATAGAGCTTTCTTTTGGTGGTATTTAATCGCCACTGGGCGCTTTACTTTTTGCGCTATAAATTAAAAAAAAATGCAAAAAATTTGAAAAAAAAAAAAAAGTTTATTGTTTCTTTTATAAAATTTTTCAAACAGGTATTTTTTCTCCTTCACTGATTTGCGTTGATGAGGCGGCACTGATGGGCACTGATAGGCGGCACTGATGGGCACTGATAGGCAGCACTAAAGGGCACTGATAGGCAGTACTAATGAGGTGGCACGGATAGGCGGCACTGATAGACAGCACTAATTAGGGGTCACGGATAGGCGGCACTGATATGCAGCACTGATAGGCGGCACTGATAGGTGACACTGATGATGGGTACTGATAGACGGCACTGACTGGCATCACTTCTGGGCACTGACTGGCACAACCCCTGGGCACTGACTGGTGGCACTGACTGGCAGCACTGCTGGGCTGCACTGGTGGGTGGCACTGGTGGACAGCACTGGTGGGTGGGCACAGGTGGGTGGCACTGGTGGGCACAGGTGGTTGGCACTGGTGGGCACAGGTGGGTGGCACTGCTGGGCACATGTAGGTGGCACTTCTGGGCACAGGTAGGTGGCACTGCAGAGTGGCACAGATGGGTGCACTGCTGGGCACAGGTGGGGGCACTGCTGGGGCACAGGTGGGGGCACTGCTGGGAATGGGTGGGCGGGGCTAGTGGGCGCACTGCTGATCGGAACTTGCGGAGGTCACTGCTGGGCACCGATCATCAGGGCACTGATCATCAGTGCCCTGATGATCGGTGCCGATCCCCGCTCTGACAACTGCCGGTTCTCGGCAGTACTTTCCTCACGATCTGACAGCGTGCGGAAAGTGCAGCCGAGAACCGGCACTTGCATTTCCCTGTGATCAGCGTGTCATTGGACACCGCTGATCACGTGGTAAAAGGCCGGTGGGATCGGCCTTTCACCACATCACGTGATCAGCTGTGTCCGTAGGACACAGCGATCACGGAGATCGCCGGGTGCGCGCCCCCTGGGGCGCGCAGGAGAGCGCGTTCTGGGAGGACGTCATATGACGTCCACTCAGAACTGGCCGGCCGCGGTGAAGCCGTCTTTCGGCTATGCGCGGTCGGCAAGTGGTTAACAGAATGTATTTTATGTTAAAATGGTATGTAATAGAGCAGCCTTTTTTAATCAGTGTGACCAGGCAAAAAGCCTAAAAATTGCCCAAAAATTGTATACAAGCCAGCAGGTGGATCAAGCTTGCCTTTTAGTTACACAAAGTTATAGGTTTTCATTGTCACCATTACAACCTTCTAGTCGCGGGCATCCTAACAGCCAATGATGCCATCAGCTGATATGGAGGATGTCGGCTGCCTGCCCGACATGCTTGCTTGACCCTCCCCTGCCCCTCTCTGTCAGTAATGGGGTCAAATTAGCTGAGTGATAGAGAGAAAACTGAGGGAGAAGAAAAACATTGGAATATGACTATTCAGTGTCAATGTGCAAAAGTGTTTTTGCTTTGCAAGAATAAATCCCCTCTATCATTGTGTGTCCTACATGTGTGGATGCTGCTGCAATAGGTAAAACTTTCAGAATAGTTTTTTATATTTTAGAATAGGGTGCCTTGAGTACCTCAAGATTGTTCATAACTTTAAAGGGTTCCTTGGCTGTAAAAAGGTTGAGAAACACTGTGCTAAAGAACTACAATTCAGCTTCTATTTACACTTATATTTTTACCTTTTTTTTTCTTTTTATTATTCTATAAATAATGATGTATTATTACATCTCTTCTTCTACAGTACTGCATTGGAGGAGGTGGCTTCTTTCCAGAGGGGGACCCCAAGCAATGTGGAGACTTCCCAGCGCTGGACGGGAATGGTGCCGGCCTACAGAGAGATTGGATCGCTAGCAAAGAATTAATAGAATCCGCTGTACTAATCTTCTACCGCTAAGGTCCTGCACAAATATAACATCGCTAACCAGCTTCTGTTCAGCCACAAAATATAGCATTCTAAAATTCAAAATCCAATTTTTTAAAATTGTATGAGTAGGTCTAGATTTCATTTATACTTCCCAAAGCTCTGTCTTTTTGAAGTTAACCCGTTTTCATGACCACACAATCCCCAATACTCTGTATAAATGCTAACTTGATATAAAGTTTTCTTCTTTAGAACATAACAGTAGGGAAGGGACAAGTCAGACTGCAGAAGTGTTTTTAATTAATTGAACAGTAAATTTTTTAGATAGACATGTATGCATGATCATCTTGATTTAAATAATCCTATCAATAAATTTCAATGCATTAAAAAGATTTTTTTCTGTGTATAGTCTGTAATTATATGTGCATTGGGGCAGCCATATTTGCTCATTATGTATCCAGACTATGCTTCCTGCATAATAGTGCAACACAGCATTCCTCTCCCTCACGCTAGGTGAGGTCTTACCTTAATGCAAGCAACAGACTTTCCATAACCCCTGGTTCACATCTGTGCAATCGCGCGGGCCGCAATTTGCACAAGCACAAGAGCCCATTAATTTGCCCCGGGGCACACAGGGAAGAAGTGCCTGCACTACGTGGAAAATTGCAGCACGCATGGAAACCGAGGTTCCCAGTACAGTCGTGCACAGGGGCGGACTGACAACTCATGGAGCCCCCGGGGCATACAGGGTCCTTGGCCAAACTGGAAAAAGGTACGTATCATTAGAATTAATGGTCCCCTGCATTCCTCTGTGTGAGTGGTGTGGCTGCAGGTATTTTTGTGGGTCCCGCAACACCACCTGCACAGATGGGAACCAAGGGTTAGGCCTTCTAAATGTATACCAATAGCGATTAAGCCTTTTACCAGGGCTCATTGAAGACTGGGTGCTGAGACCAAATGTAGCAGTGTCAGTATGTATTAGTTACTGTGATAATCTTGTATTGCTAACTTGGATACAAAAATCTGATTTACAATGGGGTTGATTTACTAAAGGCAAATAGACTGTGCATGCTCCAAGAGCAGTTGCTCCAGAGCTTAGT